ATGCGTTTGTATTGAAGGACAGAGGAGATTGCTATCGTTTTCTAAGAAAATATGAGGCAGCAATTGCAGATTTAAACAAATCACTAGAGATAAAACCAAATGATGCAATTGCATTAAGAATTCGCGGAGAAACTTATCGCATGATGAATAAATATGCAGAGTCACTTGCAGATTTCAATAGATCATTAAAGATTTATTCAGATGATTCGTGGGCATTAGGCTGTCGTGGTGTAACTTATTCCGAAATGAGAAAATATGATGAATCACTTACAGATTTAAATAAATCATTAGAAATTGATCCAAACGATACGTTCGCATTAGTTAATCGAGGAAATATTTATCGCATGATGAATAAATATGCAGAAGCACTTGAAAATTTAAATAAATCATTAGAAATTGATCCGAGCGATGCGTGGGCGCTGAAATGTCGGGGAGAAGTCTATTATGAAATGAAAAAATATGAAGAATCGTATGTAGATTTTGGTAAAGTATTAGATATCGCTCCTCATTATATTGATACAAACAAGTTGGTATAAGATTTCTATAACATGTTTTAGATAAAGATTACACTGTATTTTAATCAATTAAATTATTTACCAGGGAGTGGGTATAAATTTTTATCATCGCTTTAAGTCAAAAATTGAAATAATTCACTATTAATAAGGCATTTATAATAATTTAAGTGATATCGAGTAAGTGTTTATTGTTTTAAAGCTATATGAAATGTCCAATATTTTAAATTTGTGCTCATTTATTAATTTGCAGTGAGTAAGTATTAAATTTTCAATATTTATTTTAAATCGTTTAAACCAAATATTTATTATTGGTCTATTTTAATTTCCTAAATAATTTTATTAGTCGGTAAGTTTTTTTTTGAAGATTGAAAGGTTCATCTTTACATCGGTAATTTTAAATATGCTCATTTATATTCATAAATTATTAGACGGTAAATATTTTATTTTTATTTAAGATTTGAATTTATAATATATCTAATAAATTGATAAATACTAAATTATTAGACGGTAGGTATTTAATTTAATTTCTTTTAGCATTTAACATTGCAAAATTTAATTAAATTATTATTGTAAATAAAATTCCCAGCTAGTAAGTATAATCTTGAAAATGCTTAACTTTATGTTTTTAGAACTTTGTTAACAAATACCATTTAAGCTTCGTGTCCAGATCATAATTTTACTATCATAAACAGATGGACCTTAGTATTCCACAAAATAAAGTTCAACTGAATTGGATCATCTTATTATTAGTAAATTTATGATTTGGTTTTGAAGCTTATATAGTCTCAAAAAGACATTTGCTAATAAAGAACTATTTGTAATAATTCATTTAAATAATTTATCAACTATATTAATTACAGTTTGTAAGTACAAATTTTTTAAAGTATTTGATATATTATATTACGCTATACAAATTAATCGATTAAAATGTTTCAATTTAAAAAGCATGTACGTATAAAGATTTCTATATTCATTGTTTAAAAATTAAAATCATTAGTTTATAATTTGGTGTAATTCAAATATTAGAAAGTGAGTATAAGATTTCTATTTTTATGTATATTATTAAATAATCTTTTATTTCTAATATATTTTTTAATTTATTAGTTCGTAAGTTGTAATTTTATTTTGAAATATTTATTACAAAGATATTAATTTGTTATTTAAATTATTAGAGAGTAAGTATTATATTTTATTAATAATGTCTCAATCTATTTATTAATTAGTAATATTTAATTAATTCATTATATTATACTTAATAGTTGGTAAGTATATTATATAATTTTATAATTTAAAATTCTATTTTTTATTGCTAAAAGCATATCTTTAATTAATATTATATTTCAATATATAGGAAGTAAGTATAAATTAATCAAATTCTGTTATCGAAAAAAACTAACTTTAGAATATTTATAAATTATTAGCATGTAAGAATAAAACTATAGTTTATATTTGTTATAATTAGATTATTTAATAAATGAATTAATTATATATTATTCATAAATAAATTATTAGGGAGTATGTTTAAAATTTTCAAATTTTCTATATATTTTCTGATTTACTATTTATTACTATTAAAATTTTATATTGATTGCTTATTAGAGGGTAAGTTATAATTTAATATTTTATATAAGTTTTATTTTTTGATACTACTTAAATAACTCTAATATTTATTGCAGAATGTAAGTATTAGATTTTTGTAAATTACAGTATTATTATAAAAGGTTTTTAATAACTTTTATATGTTACTGTATTAAATTTTCAGAGGGTATGTATAAATTTTAATATAATTTTTAAACAAAATATACATTAATTAATTTAGTTATATTTTATATTTAAATTACTAGAGAGTGAGTATTTACTTATTTATTATTAAGTATTTTAAAATTATAAGTAGTTACTGAATTATAATAAAAAAATATAAAATTAGATTGTATGTATAAAATCTATTTCAATTTAAACGGTTTCTTTTTACTTTTACTAATTTATTATATTATTTATTAGTTAGTGAGTATAAGTTGATTATACTATTTGAATTAAAATTTATTAAAATAATTAATATTAAATTTAAATATTATTTAACTAAACTTATTATAAGTGTGTGAGTATAAATTAAATTAAATTAATATAATTCTAATTAATTCTAATTAATGTTTAACTAATATTTATTAAAGTGCTGATAAGTAAGTACAAATTATTGTAATAATTCGTAAATTGGTATTTTAAACTAATTAATAATGTATTAAATTTGTAGAAAGTAAGTATTTACTATTTTTGTATTATAATTAATAATATTTTTCTAATAATATGTATCAAATTTAGTAGCAAGTAGGTATTTTAAGAAAAAACGCTATAATTTTTTACGATTTTAACATTTTTATTGCAAATCTATGTAAAAAGCCTTAATGAGTTTGTATAATTTTAATTAAATTTTAAATATATGGGCCCTCAAAAGTAGAAACCACCGAATTTGACTTTTAAAAAAATTTTGTTTGCTTAACTTTCAAGACCTATATCTCAATGAATTTCAAAGCTATTTCAATAATTTAAATTTTAAAAGAAGTATTAAATCTTAAAGTTTATTTTAAAATTTAAATTATTGAAATTGCTTTGAAATTCATTGAGATATAAGGTCTTGAAAATTAAGCAAACAAATTTTTTTAAAAGTCAAATTCGGTAGTTTCTACTTTTGAGAGCCCATATAAATTATAATTATTAATCTATTTTATTTTATAAATTAAATAATAGAACGTTAGTATTATTCAAATTTAATATTTACTTTTAATACTGAGATATTTCTTTTATTAATCTATTTTATAAATACTAGAATTACTGATGGGTATGTATAAAGTATTATTATTAAGATTTTAAACCTAATATACATTATTAATTTTATTTAAATATTATTGGTAGCATGTATGTATTACTTTTTTTAACTTACTATTTATTTACAATAACACTTCTAATCAATTATTCTATATTAATTACTAGGTTGTATGTATTTGATTTATTTAATACTACTATAATATCTTAATTTTATATTATTACTAAGTTACAGTATATTTATAATACAATTAAAAGGAATGGTGAAGTGTAAGTAACTATATAAATTACGGTAATAGTAAATCTTTGAGTTAATAATAATAAAATTTTTAGAAAATGTGACGAATGCAATCAGGAATGTTTAAATAGATTTAACTGGTGTCAGACATGCAATTCAAAACATTTTCAAGATTATTTTAAAAAATGGAGTAGTGGAAATATCGATATTGATAATCTTATTAAAGAGCTCCAACTTGCTGCAAATCTTCCATCAAAAGTAGTTGAATGGATTCCATATCACCAATTTAAAAATATAAAGTATATTGCTGAAGGTGGATTTGGAAAAGTTTATTCAGCAATTTGGTTTAATGGAAAAATTACAAAATGGAATATTGATGATAATCAATGGAATCGTTTAAGATTACAAGAAGTAGCATTAAAGGTTTTAAATAATTCATCTAATTCGATTTATGATCTATTAAAAGAAGTAAGTAAGTCTTTATTTACATCAATTATAAAATATTTAATAGTTATTAGGTACGAAGCGTCGAAAATATGATCTGATTAATCAATTAAGCACAAAATTCGACCAATCAGATCATATGTGCAAATAACAGTAAGGCACTATATTGCTTGTAACATATTGCAAACACTATTGTGCCGAAGCTATGAAACTTTGTGCTTTTATAACTGTATTATCTGGCATATATTTATCAACTTTCACGAATTGATCTATATCACAGTATTTTAAATATGGTACGGATTTTAAATACAATGAATGCATATAGCGAATTGGCAAAGTAAAAATTGATAAATAGAATGTTTAGATAAAAAAATATATAATTATTACGTATAAGATTTTAAACGAAAAAATTAAAATTACATAAATAGGTTAAATTGAATTTTCAAATTGATGACAATACATTTTTTATTCAATGTTTGGGAATTTCTCAAGACCCTAATACACGCAATTATATGATAGTAATGGAATTTGCATCTTCAGGTTGTCTTCGTACATATTTGAAAGATAATTTTATAAGCATGACATGGGAAGATAAAATAAAATCATTGCTCTATATTAGTAGAGGGTTGGATTGTTTACATGAAAAAGGTTTAATGCATCATGATTTTCATTCAGGAAATCTTTTGTACAACAATAAGTTTTTAAATATTACAGATCTTGGTTTATGCAAATCAGCAAAACAAAGTTCACAATCTAAAGGAGTTTTTGGTGTCTTGCCATATATAGCTCCAGAAGTTTTATATGGAAAAGAGTATACAATAGCATCTGATATATATTCTTTTGGAATTATAGCATGTGAATTAGTAACTGGATATCCACCATATCATGATATTCCACATAATTTTGAACTTACAATAGAAATTTGCAAAGGTTTACGTCCAAAAATTCCATCATATATACCAGAATTTATTACTAAATTAATTATGCGATGTTGGAATGCTCAGCCAGAAAAAAGACCAACTTCTAAAGAATTATTTCTTACTATATTAGAATGGCATGATGTTTGTTTTAGCTTTATGCAAAGCTACCGTCCAGAATATACTGAACAAATTGAAAAATCTGAAAAAATAATCAATCAATTTTTGGAATCAAATACAAATACATCGCTTGATTACAAACTACATCCGGGAGCAATTTATACTAGTAGACTTCTTAAAACGTCCAATCTTCTCCCATTACCAGTAAATACGGTAGAATATGAAAACCAGCTTAGTAGGCTATATGAAGGTAGCTACTAATTTGCAACACTAACAATCGTTTTTATAATTTTAATTAAATTAATCAAATTATATTTATTACTAAGATTCCCAACTTATAAACCTTCAAGTTTCTAATGATTAAAATCAACAAGATATTGACTTAATCAAATTTGCGACCGAATTTCTTTTAAATAAATATGGTTATAAATTATCATGTAGACGGCTTTGCCACCTTGAATTAATAGTAGAATATTTTTTAAAATAATAGCCTTTGAAAGTTTTGTCGAAACTCAATGCAAAATTCCTAATTTTTAAAGTTATTTTTATTGTCTTTAAATTAATAATAATTTATGATATATTATATTTTTAAAACATAATTTATTGTAATTCAATATGAATTTTAATATCAAAACTCTATTTGAATAAATTTGATAAACTAATAAACGTGTTATAGCAATTTCAGCCCTTAATAACTATATAATATTTTCTGCTTTACAATTACTAAGTTTATTGTGTATTCATTATTCCGTCTTTACTTCATATTAACATATAATAATAAAAAAATAATGGCTAAAAACTTTTAAACATCAAAATTTAACCAACTGGTGGCGTTAGAACTTTGGCTTCTTGAAGCCACAACTAATACAATATTTCAGTATTACTCTTTACACAAATATTGTTAGAATCACAAACAAGTAGTGGGCTTATTGCAAAGAGATGATTTACTCAAAAGTTACTCGAAAATTTAGTTAAATTACTATCTAAATAAATTTTACAGAAATCTTGAAAAGAATAAGGTTCTTCTTTTAAAAAATAACATTAGAAAAAATATCCAAAATAGTCAATTAATAATATATGAAGATAGATTTTTTCAAAAAGCAGATTAATAGAAAATTTCTTGATCACAGATTTTAACTATCATTATTTTATCTCTAACATTAGAGATTGTATCCGAATAGAAAATATTTAATGATTTAACTGGATTAGAAATTGATTATGAACATTAACTATTTTTGAAATGTTCTATTTTATATATTTCTATAAAAAATAACTATTCTGTAAAGTGCTACGATATTTTATTCAAGCTTTCAAAAACAAAATTTGCATCTGGACATTTGATAGGATCATCGTCCCAACAATAAATATAAAGTTTAGTATAGTGTCTTCAATAAGTTCTCCTCTTTCGCCTTTAATTATTTTAATAGTAATTCTATGCGTATCAAGTGATTGAAATGGGCGTCTTCTACTAGAAATTTCCTACAAAATTACTTCTAGACTGTAGACATCAGATTTCTCATCACGTTTATACGATTCGTCCTTAAAACATTGAAGTTCGATATATGGGGGGTTTTACTACAAAATCCCGAAAGGACCTAATACCGACAAGGTTAGCCGGCATTAGTTATAATGTTGGCCAATTTAGTCGGTATTATGTTCTTTCGGGAAAATGGTTTTCGGGATTTTGTGGTAGAACCAATCTCAAAGACAATCTCGAAAATTTAAAATTCCAAGTTAAAATCTTAACAAGGCAAAATCCCGACAGGTCGATATCCCGAAAGTTTAAAATCCCGAAAGTTTAAAATCCCGAAAGTTCGATATTCCGAAAGTTTAAATCCTAACAAATATGAAATCCCGAATAGTCAAGATCTCGACAGTTGAACGTAGTTGCGAATTTATAAAGTGTGTTACTTCTATAGAAGATAACAATATTTCCATGATTGATCTTATTAAAGATGAAGTAATTTTTCCTTCTATCTCTATTTCTCCCTCGCTTATCGCTGAGAATTATTTTCAGGGTTAAATATTTACATAATATAATATTGTTTAATAATCGCACTTTGTGAACTTACTATAATATCCTGAATAGTTATTTAATTCTTCCTCTCACGTTTTTGTAATTAACTTTTAAGATATGATATACAAATAATGATGTCTTTAATTTACATTCTTAATTTTAACTTGAAGATAACTAGTTTTTATTTAATTTTCTTTTGAATTGAAAACATCTCATACGTATTCATTTACAAAATAATATTGATATTTATTAAGTAATTCAATACCAATTGGCTTTTCAAAATATTTATTATTAGAACCATAGAAGTATAGCATCCATTAGTTTGATAATTACTGTTATTATTAAACATAATCCACCAAAATTTATACTGTAATAATTGTTACCCATCGCAATGACCTTTGCTGGGTTTATAACACAACTTAAAATAGAATTTTGAACAGTATTATATATTTATGAAAAAATAAAGCTATCATTGCAATTAACATAAACAGTTTTTGCTATTATCCCACGCAATTCTAAAAATTCTTTCAATATTTATCTTTGCCTTTAACGTTTATGACAGTAATAGTATTTCTTTCATATTACATAACAATAAATTCCAAAATGTTTCACGGTTAAATCCATTCCTACTTCCTTGAAGAAGTAATTTAAATTCATACGAATTATTTCTTATTGTTATTTTTATCAATCCATGTTGCAATTTCCACTGCATGTTTTTCATTAATAGCAGTTAAAAATGGTTCTTTTGATCGGGTTGATAATTCTGCTTTTAAAATAATACTAGAACCGTTGATATAACTTTATAATTGGGTGATAAAATACTTTTATTTAGATCTTTCCAAAGATTTTTTTTTTCAAGAATTCTAGGGTTTTACCACAAAATCCCGAAAGGACCTAATACCGACAAGGTTAGCTGGCATTAGTTATAATGTTGGCCAATTTAGTCGGTATTATGTTCTTTCGGGAAAATGGTTTCGGGATTTTGTGGTAGAACCCTTTGAGATTTTAACCTATCTGGATTTTGCTTTTGTCGGGATTTTAACCTGTCGAGATCCGGTATCTGTCGGGATTGTGCACATCGGGATTAAGTTTTTTGGTGTCAGGATTTCATGGTAAACCCGAAATGTTATGGTAAATAGTACAATATTTGCTGATTTTAATTCCACTGATTAAAAAAATCATCTTATACCATGATATGATTTGCTGATCTTATTTCCACTGATTAATAAATTATCTTTATACTCACTCGTTGAATTAATGATTTGAAGAGTATTAGGTAGTGGTAAATAAGTATAACATTTATGTTTATAATTGCTGATTTTAATTCCACAGATTATAAATCATCTTTTATTATGTGACTCCACATTTTACCTATTTTCATTATCATCTGATTAAAAATTGGACTACCCAATTCGATAATCGGCATGATACGTAGTATATACAGTCAGATTGAATTGTCTAATTTAATCAGGTGTTCCAGGAATAATGAAAATTGCTGTAATCGTCTTTGGCGCGCCATAATTTAATATAACGATAATTAATAAAACTCAAAATTTAACTGGTCTTTAGATTTTGATTGGCTCCAATACCTAAGTTTGCATCTCAACTTTTTATAAATTTTCACTCCTATATAAATTAATAATTTATTCCGGAAAATATCGGTTTCCGAGTTGTCGGATAAACGGGTACAAGCTCTAAGCAGATAAAGATTCCCAGATGATAATTTTGCCATCACATAGGCAGTTGAAACACAATGATTAGGTGATCAAATTATATCAGGGTACAGTACATACGAACAAAAAATTTATAAGTAATCAGGTACATATGTATAAAAAATTTATAAGTAATCAGGTTACAGTCAGATACATACGTACAAAAATTTATAATTAGGTCACTATGTTAAACAAAAATTTATAACAATTCATTATCGGGCTACAATTTCTGATCAAATAATAACTTTTATTCTCAATAATCATGCCATATCACATAAATGATTGGCTCAAATTTTACCTAATCACTCACGTTAAATCATAAGATATGTGAACCAATATTATCGTAATGCCACACGATTTCTTTCAATAAAAGTTAATATATTGTTATCGTCGGGTTTAATCTGAACTGGGACCGGATGGTTACGGACCAATTACTGAGAATCATTAGGCCTTTGATCTATTAACGGTATTTTTTTGTAAGCTGATGTTAAGTTTTGGTGAACTTATTATACTTTATTAACAATCATATTCTAGCTCTAAACTCATTATCGCTATTTTCAAAATACTTCAAATAAATTTTTTTTTTAAAATATTGTTAATACTTCTAAAAAATTGTGAATACTCTAGTTTTTTTTTTTTTTTTTTTTTTTTTTTTGAATACTCTAAAATATCAGTTATTTCAAGTATTTTGAAAATAGCGATAAACGTAAATTAAGAAATATTTTAAATTAAAAAGCAGAATTAGTAATAACTTCAAATTCATATAGCATTACAAAGTGATTTATTAGTCAAATATAAAAAGACGAAGTTATTTATACGATAGTTATTCTATGCTCAAATTTGACTGTGCAAAATATAATACATTCGATATAGTCTGTCAGATTTCAGACATGTTTCCCCAAAACCTAAACAAATAACAAATTAATACTAAACCAGTATAAAAAAAAAAAAAAAAATCATGCATAAAAAACAATTACCATGGCTAATAGTGCCATCCTGACAAACATTCCGTACTTCATCTGCCGAAAGTAAACAGCACGTTCATCAAAGTCTACTTCTGGGTCAATTTCATTCACTCGCGGTAATGGGTGCATTACAATCATGTTTGGTTTAGAACGACTCAATGTAGAGTTATTTATTATATAGGAATCTTTAATTCGTTCATATTCCGTCTGATCCGCAAATCGCTCACGCTGAATTCGTGTCACATAAAGTACGTCAGTTTCTGCGATTACAGATTCCAAGTCAGTATATTCTTTTTGCTTTATTCCTCTAGTTTTGCGAACTTCCATTTTGATTTCATCAGGAAGACGCAGCGACACAGGACTAACATAGTTAAGGGTGACTTGATATTGTGACAATACCCTAACTAAACTATGGACCGTTCTACCGTTTTTTAAATCACCAACTATTGTGATAGTCAATCCATTGACAGTTCCAAGTTCTTCACGAATAGTGTACACGTCAAGGAAAGCCTGGTAATAGATTATTATTTAAAGGTAAAAAAATATATATATATAATAATCATAATATGCATACCTGAGTAGGATGTTCTCCAACACCATCTCCTGCATTTATGATCGG